CTGAATGAAGGTCTTGATGTGGGAAGTCTATTGCAAAATATCTCACAGGAGTATCACAGAGAGGAATTACAGTAACCCACAAGGGGTAAAGGTCTGTTACGTTATTATCTGCATAAGGAAGGTGTGGGAAAATGGGTCACCAGATAAAGAGCAAGTAAAAAAGCATTTGAATGATTGCCAATTTCTCTCTTTTAAACATCAAAAGGGAGAAAAGGCAATGTGCAATGTGTGAGCTTGGAAGTAAGAAGTGATTTAAAGTTTTGTAACCTAAATTACAACAGAAATCAGTGGGCCTCTAAATGTGCATTATGCATAGCTGTGTTGGAAAGTTGTGAAATTAGGCAGTCCAACTGTGAAGCCCCTTTTTGATATTACACTTTATCTGACCTGACCATGCATCAGGTTGTTATGTCATTATAATATGAAAACAAAGCTTTTACACTATGACAAAATTTGTAACATCTAAAACATCCACATCTTCTCTTGTAACATTATTATGTTCCTTGTATTTACTGTTTATTTCTGATATTCCTATTTGGCATTTTATATGGTTGTACTGCAAAACAGGAAACTTACCATACCAGCTTTTACTGTTTTGGGTCAGAAAGGTATTTAACAGGTGTCACTTAGTGAGTGCTTCTGCTTTTTCTTGTGGATGCAACTCCACAGTGATATGCAGTTAAAATACATAGTAACTACACATTCTTAATGACTAGACGGGCTGTTTGTGCGTTAGGTCTTCCGCTCTCTGGCAAAGTCAGGTACATGTGACAACGAGATCACTGTTTATTATTTTCACGTAGGAAGTCTGACTGGGCCGTGAGGAGCCAGGCTCGTTGTTTTAGCAAAGGGTTTCCCTCTGCCGTTACCTCGTTAAATTGTTTGCTTTTTGGAAATTAGCCATTTACCTGAGGGCTAATTATGAACTTCGACTTGAGCTGCTAGCTTATTATTAGCTAACATGAGGCTAACGTTAGCAAACAAAAGGCGGTGGTCAGGGGGACTTGCCAGGATCAGACCTTAGCTAGCTGGCCAGCACCCTCGTTCTGGAAAATTCTCCAATCCCCACCGACAGCTGACTGTTAGTTTGAACTTTGGCTAACGTTAGCGTCTTGGTTGGGTTATGCAGTCGTCCATAATCTTTGTTTGGTTGACTTTCGACCTCAGCCCTGTTGCTCTATTCCACACCCAGCTCACCTGCCTGACGGACGGGCTAAACTGGAACTCCCCAGCCTCCTTCAGATCCAGCCAGATCATCGGCATCCGGGGGACCGCCTCCATCGCGGCCGTCTCTACACGGGACTGTCAGCCGTTACGATGTTAAAATCACGTCGGTAGTTCTGTGGACGTTAACGGTTTCCTAAACGATAGCTTTCTCCCAAACAACTGTGTCATGTATCCATTTACACTTCAACCGGAAGCTGGAAGCGCACGTGACGTAATCTGTTAATAAATGCCGCGTGGGTTTCTGGGAAATGTAGTAAAAACCTTTTCCCCCTATCTGATATGAACCTGCGTGGTTGCATCAATAATAATAATAATAATATTTAATACCATAATTACAAAGTGCTGTCACAAGACAATAAAACACATAAAATAGATAACAAGAAACACAATAAAAGCAGGAGGAAACTTAAGAAATTGAAATAATAATAGTGAATAGAAAAAGTTATTAAATAAATCAGAATCAGAATCAGCTTTATTGCCAGGTATATGTTCACATACGAGGAATTTGACTCAGGATTGTACATTGCTCATGATGTGCTTACTTGTACAAAAATACCATAACACAATAATAAAATAATAATAAAATAAAATCAGACACAAACTACAGTATAGACAACACTAATATACACACTATGAACAAAACAATATTGACATATTGACAAATAGTGCAGTGATCAGAGTGCAAAGGACACAAGAGTAAACTATTCTCATTATGTACATGTTGAAGGTGGATATGATATACAGGTACACATACATGTACACATGTACACAGTGTGATGGAACATAGTGCAAAGGATATTGTAAAAAATAAATAAGACCTATGACTTTATGACCTGAGGTAGGTTTATTGGTATACAGTATATGCAATATGACATAGTATGAACAGCACTTAAATAGAGAATGGTGAATAAATAAATAATAAGTGGAAACCAGTAAACAGGTGCTGATTAGAGGAAGAGTTCCTGGGTTATTGCACAGGAATTGCTCCTGTCCTTTTTGGTGGCAGATCCAAACCAGACAGTGATGGACGTGCAGAGAACAGACTGGATGATGGCTGTGTAGAAGTGGATCAGCAGCTCCTTAGGCAGGTTGAGCTTCCTGAGCTGGTGCAGGAAGTACATCCTCTACTGGCCTTTCTTGATGATGGTGTCAGTGTTGGGCTCCCACTTCAGGTCCTAGGGATATAGTGGAACCCAGAAACCTGAAGGATTCCACAGCAGACACAGGGCTGTTTAGAAAGGTGATGGGGGTCAGAGTGGGGGGGCTCCTCCTGAAGTCCACGGTCATCTCCACAGTTTTGGGCATGTTAAGCTCCAGGTTGTTCTGACCGCACCAGAGAGCCAGCTGATCAACCTCCCGTCTGTAGGCCGACTCATCACCGTCCCGGATGAGGCCGATGATCGTTGTGTCGTCAGCGAACTTCAGGAGTTTAACAGATGGGTCCCCTGAGGTGCAATCGTTGGTGTAGAGGGAGAAGAGCAGTGGGGAGAGCACACACCCCTGGGGGGCGCCAGTGCTGATAGTCCGGGTGCTGGATGTGATGTTTCCCAGCCTCACCTGCTGACTCCTGTCAGTCAGGAAGTCTGTGATCCACTGACAGGTGGAGGCTGGCACAGTGAGCTGGGTGAGTTTGGTGCTGAGGATGACCGGGATGATGGTGTTGAACGCCGAGCTGAAGTCCACGAACAGGATCCTAGCATATGTCCCTGGAGAGTCGAGGTGTTGCAGGATGTGATGCAGACCCAAGTTGACAGCATCATCCACTGACCTGTTAGCCCTGTAGGCAAACAAAAATCTCCTATGAAAGTATGTTTTAAGAAGGGACTCAGCCGCCCTAAATGCTCTGTCTCCTTTAGTTTTGATTTGAGACTCTTGAACAGACAAAAGACCTCTGCCCAAGGATCTCAAGATACGTGCTAGTGTGTATAGGCCAAAAAGGGCAGAGATATAACAGGGAGACAGGCCATGAAGAGCTTAAAAATAATCAATAAAATTTTAAAGTCTATTCTAAAACATGGGAACCAGTGTAATGAAGCTAAGACAGGGGTGATGTGATCATAATACTTTGTTCTGGCCAAAAGACTGGCAGCTGAGTTCTGGACATTCTGGAGTCAATCATTTTTGGGTCAAGCAAGTAAAAAGGCTGTTGCAGTAATCCAGGGTTGATGAGATGGTGATGGCGCAATGGATAACACACATACCTTTGGTGTGAGAGACCTGAGTTCAACCCCCACTGTGGTGCAGCCAGAACAGTGGAGCTGGAGCTCAACGCTCAGAAGACAGTGGAGATGGTCGTGGATTTTAGAAGAACCCAGTACCCCCCCCCCCCCCCCCCCAAATGTCTCTGCACATGTAAATACTGTTTCATTTCGTGTTGTGCACAGACCTCGCATGTTGCACATATTTGTTGTTGATTGTTGATCTTTGTTGTTGTTGTATATTTTTATGTTGTCAGTTTATATATTTATATGTACACAATATTCTCTTCCGTTGCGTTACTTCTGCACGGCACAGACCCAGAATAATGCACATGTATATATCTGCAATGTTGTTCTTCCATTCCATATTTATACATTTCCACATTTATTTATGTTTACTTTGTCTACGTGTAGCACCTTATCAACACAGCAAATTCCTCGTTTGTGTAAAACACTCCTTGGCAATAAAGCTCCTTCTGATTCTGATTCTCAAAGACTTTACACTCTTTAGTTGTATATAGACTGTAAAACTGTTGTATTCAGCATGGAAAGTGAACCACATTATACAGGCAGACACCAATAGCCTTATTTCATTTTTTTAATTTAGTAAATAAAGGTAGGGCTATCTCACATCCAACTGACATAATTTGACATTTTGAATTTGTTTTTGTCTCAAATAAACTTCCACATCACAGCCTCTTTAACGAAATCTTCTTTAGCCCATACAGTAACAGATGATGTAGTCATTTCCCCCTTGCAATGTTTTTACTTAATTTGGTGATAGCTTTTCCAATGTTAACACTTAATGCTAGATAGCCAACAGCGAAGTGAGGAATGAAAATAGTTTATGGGGTGCTGAATCCACATCAATGCACTTAAAGCCATTCTCAATTTACCAGACTGTATTGTGTGTTTAATCATTAATAAGTAATATAAGCCTTGTTACAATCACCAAGGTTTTCTTGTACTGCCTGGCACTACTCAATGTCAATGATATTGTTTACCTAAACAATAATAAATATACTGTATGTAAGGGTTTTATGAATATCCATCCACCTGTATCCAAATATTAAATGGTTTAACCTCTATGTCATTATGAGTATATATTATTGTGGCATTTAACGGGTAAAACTTTATTGTATTATTGTTTTAATTGCAGCTTTAATTTAGACTTTTAATAAACTTGTTCTAAAAAAGTTTTTATAACCTCTCTGTTCTATTGTAGGCCTAAAAGTTCCACTGATGTGACACTGTATTAAGAGTAGCTTAATAGATTGGGACCATAATTAGCCATTTCTTGACAACACATGTATAAACATATCACTGAATAATTTTTATTAAACACTTACAGCCAACATGTTTAATGAATAAAGATATTATTTTCCAAAACGCTGGAATAAAGAATAAATGCAAAATGGGAAAATTCGGGATGCGCAGACGTTTAAAGGGTCAAGTTCACTAAAAATAACAAAGCTAAAACCGGATTTTACCCTCAAAATAAAAGCATAAACTTATTGATTCACCATACGTCATCTTTTGTCATTTATTTTGGAGGGTCCAGCCGGAAACATCCACGTTTCAATCTGCCATACTTGCCACGTCGCCGCCATTTTTGATCCCCAAATAATAAGAACAAATATTTTGTTTTTGCGAAGAAGTTATGAAAGTGCAAGTTATCAATTAACTAACTTAACGTACATCAGAAATCAGTGGGACCAATAAATATTCGTTTGACATCGTCGTTTGGAGGCAAGTATACCACCATATAATTATTAATACGAATTCATTATTTTATAGCTAAGTTAAACAGAATTGAAATATGATGAGCTAACAGTGTTAAACACGGATGGCAACGGCACTATTAGCAAGTTAGCATTCTATTGTTGTTATTGTCAGATTAGGGATAAAAGGCTGTGGAAGTGTGACGATATTTATATATATATACATAGACGTTATTATCAGTAAATATCTAGCTGAGTTGTCCTCTTCCCTGATGTCTGGAGCATTGACCAACGTTAGCGGATGTGGAAATAGCTAATTTGCTAGCCGCACTTCCACCGGAACAAACTTAAGTTACCTAATTTGGTGTCAAAATATAATTTTAAGTGATCGTCCATGCATCTTCTTCGTATTTTATCGAGTGAGAATTGTTGTGTATTGTTACAGCTTGTCTGTCTAATAACGGGGCAAGCCGTATGGAGCAGAGTCAAGCTTTCACATGTGTGTGTCAAAAGTGATATATATTTTTTCATCTTTGCAAGGAGTTGATTGATTCTGCCATCATACGAATGAATTATACAAATCAATGGGTACACCAGTTGTGTGTTTGAATTTTCAGTTTGTATACTATAATTATTTCCTATGTTCACTAACGTTACCACTGCAATTACTCACACATTAACGTTAACTTACAGTAACTGAGAATGGTCGAACGCTTTGTTGGATAAATGACTTATATGATTAGTCGGTTATGTTGTTGGTTCATTATCTGTTGATCGACATTGAAAGTTTTGGCATAAAATTAAAAGATATTGGGACGTTTGTGAAGATCAAAATTTGTGCAAAACATTAGCTCAACATAAGACAAACTAGTATTAAAATACTGTGCATTATGGACATTTTCCTCGAAGGAAACAATACAAACAGTTGAATCAACTTGCGCTCAGCTGAAATGTTTCTCCTGGTCTGTCCTGATTGTGAGATACTGTTTCTCCTACCTGCCAGCAGATGTCACTGGTGTATCTCGGGCAGCGGCTGCTGGAGGCTGCGCGAACCGGACATGATGACGATGTCAAAGCTCTGATGGCCAATGGGGCTCCTTTCACCACAGACTGGGTGAGGCTGAAATGCTTTAATTATGGAATAATCTTCACCCTAATCCGTAATGACACGAGTGTGAACGCTCATCTGTCAGCTCTTTATTGTCGTGTTGGATTTGTCGCCAGTGTCGGGTTACAGTAATGCTGATGCTGCTCATTTAATACAGTAAAAAAACATTAAGCACACACTTAATGAAGGGAAAAAACTAAACTTAGATACTGTGAGAGTTCTGTCTTTACTGTAATCTGTCTGCCTGTACACGTCTATCTTTCATACTTTATCACTGTTGTAAAGAGGAAAAACTGCATGTAGGTGTAGGCTAACAAGGTTGCTATGTAATGAAATTGATCAGTTACAGTGTCACATGAGTACAACACTTGAAATAAGTTGCACATAAAATAAACTGCCTATACTTTGCATATAATATAATAACCACATGTCTGTAAAACCTATAGTCAAGGACTGAAATTAACTAATTACCTATTAATCTACCTGTTATTTTTTTTCTATTAATCTATTACTAATTTGTTCTACAATAAATCAGATAATAGTGAAACATTTTCCTCACAATGTTGTAAAGCTCAAGATGATGTCATCAAATGTCATATTTTTTGTCTGACCAACAGTCCAGTACTTAAAGATAATCAGCTTACGGTCACATAAGACAAAAAAAGCAGCAAATCCTCCAAACTGAGAAGCTTAAAAATGACAAACAATGAATAATTTAATGATTGTTAAAAAAGGTGCCCATTGTTTTTCTGTCAGTTGACTAATGAACTTATTGTTTCACCTGAACTATTCCACATTTTACACAGGCACTCAGATATACAGTAAGTCAAATAGCAAACGGGATACAAGTAGTTCATTACATATTTTATAGTGATGCATTGCACCATAATGTACAGTGTCTATGTTTAATTTTATTCTTATTTGTATTTTTAATTAATTGAATTGGCCTGCAAAACCTATAAAATGATTATCTTTATATACTTATTACAATAATGAAAGTTGTTTTAAATAATTTAGATTAGATAAAAATACTTCATAACAAAATCCACAGGCACCTTCTCTGACTCTTATTATCATATCTATTTATAACATTCATTTATTATTTACTGCTCACAGGCACTGTGTACACCACTAATGCAGTTTTATTGAAATTTCTCTACACTACCTGTATCTTGTATACCAATACAGATAACAGATTAGAGGGTGTCAAATGATTCAAATTTAAAGAGGAGTGATGTCATTCATCTGTGACAATGTACTGTACACAGAAGAGTAGTTGCAGTATGAAAGGGCACATGATTTAGTGGTTTATGCCGCATTCACATGATGTCTGCATTTTAAAGTAAGGGGAGAAATAGGAGCTCGCACCTATTTAATTTTTTAGAACGACATCATCACAAATCATTTATATGTATGAATTCAAACTCCACCATTAATGAAATGTAACAGATTCGTCACGCCTGTCCTAAGTAAAGCTGACTGCGTAAATATAACATGATAATTTAGATTTCTATTACCTTGGAGTGTCAGCATTGGTGGATTAGCTGTCTTGTGTGCCGCAGTGTATGCTGCAGAGGGGGAGACTTCACTTTTAGGCCTTTGACAAACTCCTACATTTTCTGGCTTGGGTTTAAACTACAGACTTTTAACAAAAAGACAAATGTTACAAACTACAAACTGTTTACCTGTGGAAAGAAATTTTCGAGTTGTATTATGACCTGTACAACAGACTGAATGTCAGGATATCTGTCCCTCTGCTGCATTTATTTTAACTCAACCTTTTTAATGCTTTTCAGTTAGGATTGAGTCATCCTTAAAATCTAAGACTAACACAACAGTAGCCTAAAGGTGTGAGAAATGAGGATGGAAGTCAGACATTTGAGCTTCTGACCTGAAGATGATTGAGATTTACTTTCATTGACTACTATCGAGTTTCACTTTCCCTGGATTAAGATAATAAAAATCATCTCACAAATCTTATCGCCTCCAGCTGCTCCTTTACAAATCGTGTTCCCTCTCTCTCTCCGCTTTTCCCTCCAGCTGGGCTCGTCGCCGCTGCATCTCGCAGCCCAGTACGGTCATCGCTCCACTGCCGAGGTGCTACTGCGTGCCGGTGTCAGCAGGGACGCCCGAACCAAAGTGGACAAGACCCCTCTTCACATGGCCGCCTCAGAGGGCCACTCCATCATAGTGGACCTGTTAGTGCAGGTGAGGAGAGAAATCTGTTTCAGTGCAGTTATGGTGTTGTATTGTGATGATATGACCATACTGTGTTATGGTTTTACATATTGTCAAAATTAATGATTATGAGCTGTAATTAACATGGTAATAATATACACTCACCGGCCACTTTATTAGATACACCTGCTCAATTGCTTGTTAACACAAATAGCTAATCAGCCAATCACATGGCAGCAACTTAGCATTTAGGCTTGTAGACATGGTCAAGACAACTTTCTGACGTTTAAATTGAGCATCAGAATGGGGGAGAAAGGGGATTTAAGTGACTTTGAACGGTGCATGGTTGTTGGTGCCAGACTGAGTATTCTTCTGAGTATTTCAGAAACTGCTGATCTACTGGGATTTTCACGAACAACTATCTCTAGCGTTTACAGAGAATGGTCTGAAAAAGAGAAAATATCCTGTGAGCAGCATTTGTGTGGACGAAAATGCATTGTTGATGTCAGAGGTCAGAGGAGAATGGGCAGACTGGTTCAAGATGAGATGGGTTACAGCAGCAGAAGAACACACCGGATGCCACTCCTGTCAGCTAAGAACAGGAAACTGTGGCTACAATTCGCACAGGCTCACCAAAATTGGACAATAGAAGACTTGACAAACATTGCCTGGTCTGATGAGTCTCAATTTCAGCAGCGACTTTCAGATGTTTTGGTCAGAATTTGGCCTGAACAACATGAAAGCATGTAACCATCCTACCCTGTATTAGGCTGGTGAGTTCACTGTACTCCACTGGCCTCCACAGTCACCAGATCTCAATCCAGTAGAGCACCTTTGGGATGTGGCAGAACGGGAGATTCGCATTGTGGATGTGCAGCCGACAAATCTGCAGCAACGTGCAATATGGACCAAAGTCTCTGAGGAATGTTTCCAACACCTTGTTGAAAGTATGCCACAGAGAATTAAGGAAGTTCTGAAGGCAAAAGGGGGGTGGAGTTGATGGCGCAATGGATAAGATGCCTGCCTTTGGTGTGAGAGACCCAGTTTCAATCCCCCACTGTGACCCAACCACCATTGTGTCCCTGAATAGGTCACTGAAATTTTTGTTTTATGTTTTAAGTGTGAAGAGTTCTGATGAAATACAGATGACATCACTGAGGATCAGTGTGATCATTTAATATGATTTTCCAGTTGTATAGTGTGATATACTATACTATATACTACATATATATATATACACTGCATGGCCAAAAGCATATCGAACATTACCTCCATATGTGATTGTGACATTTCATTTCATTCCCCAAACATTTTGAAAACTGGCTGCATGGATTTGTTGCCATTCAGTGCACAAGAGCATCGTTGAAAAAATACACCGATATTGGCTGATAAGGTCTGGTTCTCAGTTAGCGCTCCAATTAATTCCAAAGGTGCTGGACTGGCTTAAGGTCAGGGCTCTGTAGCAATAGGTCTCACCTGATTGAGACTGTGTTCCTTACATTACTTACTTACTATAGAGTAAAAGTGTTAAAGATGACCTTGGATTTAGTGTATGAAATTGCGCACCAAAAAGCCATCAACTGTTTTGTAATCTTTTTGGGGATACAAACATTTGCAAATTGGCCAATGTTTCAGAGACTTCAGCATGTGTTTTAAATGAACTTGTTACACTGTTTTCAACATTTTTAGTTGGTGTACACTCCACCTTACCGACCTTACATTTCCTACCTGCCACAGACACCTTTCTTCATCATTTCTCATAACTTCCTCTTTGTCTCCCTGTTTTTTGGGGTTCTTTCCTTTTCTCACCACTGGGGGGTGTGGTGCATCTGTGCAGAACGGCGCCGACATCAACGCCAAAGACATGCTGAAGATGACGGCGCTGCACTGGGCGGCTCAGCACGGCCACAGGGAGGTGGCGGAGCTCCTGCTGAGGTACGGCGCAGACATCCACTGCCTCAGCAAGTTCGACAAGACGCCCTTCGACATCGCCATGGATACCAGTGACACTGAGCTGATGATCCTGCTACAGGTGGACGGATGGAGGGTGGGGATGGGGAGAGACAGGGACATCCTGAGAGAGATATAGACAAATGTCAGACAGTGAATGTCAGACAAAGAGACAGATGAAGGAGAGAGAGACAAGAATGTATGCAGACGTGTAAATGGAGATGAGAGAAAGGAAAGAGAAGAAGAGACGTGATGAAGACGATGAGGGAGAGGAATGCAGGGAAGAGAAATTGATGAGGGGGAAGAAATAGCTGTAAGGACAGACAACTGAGATGAAGAGGAAGGGTGAGGCATGCATGGGAGGAGGACAGACAACTGAGATGAAGAGGAAGGGTGAGGCATGCATGGGAGGAGGACAGAAAAGCAGAGACGAGTCATCTCGGTTTCTGTTGGCGTCTCAAACACTTTGCTGCAAGTTTAAAAAACAAGATAACAGAACAGGAGACATTCGAAAAAACAAAGAAAATGACCAAGCATTTTCAGCCAAGGCAGTTCAAAATGAAGATGCGGAGGAGAAACGGCGAGAGAGATGGACAGATAGATGAAGGCGGGGAAGACAAGGAGACATAGATGGATGAATGTGGGGCTTGTGAGAGAGGCAAGGAGAGATTGTATAAGATGGACAAAGATAAGGGGGGAGAAAGAAGAGCACTGGGGGAGCCGAGGAGATTAAAACAAAGACAGAAAGAGAAGGAGAATAAGAAGACAAAAGTGCGAGACTGCAGGCGCAGACAGGTTTGCACAATGCCTCTGTGATTTCAAAAATACGTTTGATGTTTCCTAAGTGAGACTATCGAAGCTCCAGTCGGACTCCCACCGGCGTTGCTATGGTTTCAGTGCCCATGTAGCCTCTCTCTATCAGTCAGCCATGTTGCAAACAGTTCACACCCGCGTTTAGACACCATTTTACACAAGATCGGATTAGACGTCGTCTTTGAAAACATAAAGAAGCCACACTAATAATTAGAATAACAGAATTGGGGTTGAGTATTATGTTGAAATTAGTAGACACAGTATTTGTAAAAATGAGATTCTAAAAGGCCCACGTGCGCGCCTACCGAGGCCTTATGTAACAGAGGTGTGTGTGGGCCTTCAGGTGGTACGTAGGAGGTTCTAGTTAGCATTAGATAACTCCTCTCCTTGGACAGGACTCTTGAACTAGCCAGGACAAAGATAGTAGGGCCTCGAGCAAAAGCAGCTGGTCGAACCATGCAAGATGGGTGCATAGGGCACTGACACATGTTTATGAAACATAAACACCCACCTTGGCCATGAGTCTGAAATGCTCCCCTGAGGTTGGCGTTTGAAAGAGCTGAATCACTATAAGTGCACCATGATATGCGTTTATTATCTGAAATAAACTTACTGCTGTGCCCTGATGAAGTAAAGGACTTTAGCTGCCAAAACAAAAATGGAAATGGTGTGCCTTTTTTAAAAGGGTGAGACAAAGACATAAACCCACAAAAATGTTTTTAGAAAATAGTGACATTGGTTCTCTCTCTTATTAAATCTGTGCAGATAAAATGTCTCCTTCAGATGAAATCACTGCCGATGCTCCAAGATGCCAAACTGCACTGAAAATGCAAATCAGTGCATAAACAATGAAACAAACTATTAGATTTAAACCTCAGCCTACACCTATTACAGCCACCTTATTTTATCCATCATTAACCACATGATTACCTTTGGTCGGGAAATGGGCCACTTTTTAAAAAGAGAGAGAGAGTCATACCATCAGTGAAATGACTCTCACTGATTTCTCACTTTCAGCTGCACCTGCAATTCTCTTTCTAACAGAATTAAACTAGTGGCTAAAAGTGTCATTTGGAATTACAGAATACTGATATTCGACTTTGTATGAGTGATGTCAACTAAAGACACCAATAATAGATGAATGTTATGTTATCTTAGTTTCAGATAGATGAAAATTGAAACTGAATTGGTAGAGTCCTATTTTATACATCAAAGTGTTTTAAGTGTTTAATTTAATTTTATGCCTGTCATTTTTTAATTCTCTCATAGCTGCGTTTTGGCCGCAGAAGGCATCTGTGTTCAGTCCCTAATACACTATTAGGGACTAGTATAGTGGAACATTTAACAGCTTAAGACCCAGATATTTCCCCAAGGAATTGGTGGAGAGCAAAACAGAGCTAAAAAGAGAGTAAATGTTGGACTTGCATTCATCAGATAGACACATATCTAAATGAATGCTAATGTTGCTCCATAACTGCTGGAGTGTACACGGGCAGTTGTTAGCTAACATGTTTGCCATCTCACAGTTATTGCAGGTTTAAACACTTTACTGTTATGGGTTAGCGCAGAGTTCCTACTCCAATTTCATTTGAAATGTTCTCACTCGTATGCAACAGAACACTTTGTAAATTATCATTAACTGCTAGATAATTTAGGATAACCACAGCTCCTGTTATGTGTGTGCACAGGACAGCATGCAGAATCAGGTAAACATCAACCCAGAGTCCCACTACATGATCCCTGCTGGTGGGCTGGTCAACCTCTCAGAGCTGATCGCCACCACCAAGACCACTGCAGGTAGGCCGTGCACATGCATCACTTGTGTTTAGGTGCAGTGCTAAGTGACAAAAATGCAGAATAACCAGCAGGTGGAAAGGGGTGTGAAATTCAAATTTGTGCAGGTGAGAAAACCTGTTTTATTTCGATAGACATAATCATATCTGACAAACAACAAACACCTGGACTGGACACCGTCAAGAAAAGAAACCAAATGGCAGACAGTTGTGGAACAGCAATTACGAATTGCCAAAATCTTATTTTGTAAAAATGAATGGAACTGGAAAAGGGACAAAGAAGGAGGCACATTCAATAAACCATATTGTTCATCCACCCATTCACTCCTTTCATTTCACCCACGTTTCTCTTAAACCTGTCAGAATAATAATAACTTTGAAATGTCTTTATCCATCTACAAAGTGTTTTAAAATGTGAACCGGTAAAACTTTTGTCGTTCTTTTCTTTTAGTGGTTCTTTGTGGTTGTGTAACATTCTGGCCCTGGTTCATTTTGTACAGCAGCATAATGTGGAGTAGTGCTTGGCAACGGCTGTTATCTAACAATACAAGCCAACTGTTGTCTTCAGGCAAGTCAGAGGATGCCATGGCTGCCGAGTCGGTGGAAACAACCATTCAGCATGTGGTGGGCGATGGCGGGCAGAGGGTCATTACCATATTGACAGACCAACACAGCAACCTGCAGCCAGCGGCCCTGGGCCAACAGTTCATCATCACCCTGCAGGGGCAGCAGAGTGAGTGGGCAACACACAGGCTCAGGACTCAATACTTCAATACTGGTCAGGACCCAACTGAGAACAGGGGTGCGCTAACGTGGCAAGTTTCTAAAAAGGCAGAAATATACCATAAATAAAAATAAGACGCATATCAGCTATCAGCCAGTTAGATTATAACAGTTCTGCAGACTTTAAACACAGACGCTGTGGAGAATTCTCACAGTAAAAGCAGCTCGGAATAGTTCAGACAACCTTAAGACGACATTGCAGTTTGCGTTTACTTGAATGTTGAATTCAAACGTGACCCATTTAAAACTTTAGAACGAATCCTGAATACATATTACTGTAAGTGGTGAAAAAAGTTGCTTATTAAAAGGGTTTATATGTGATGGAAAAATACAAAACAGATGCATTATAATCAGTGTCTTGCGACTACTTGACACCTTGAAGCTCTAGTAAAGCATTGTCTATTTCACAGTAGTGTCTAAATATTACTAATACCATATTACAACCATAGACTATATAAAATGAAAGAAGGAACATAAAGCCCATTAAGTTATTTACAAACTTAAATTTGAGTACAAGGGAAAAGGCCCAGTGGGTAATATAACAGAACCTACCCTCTGTCTAAAGACAAATGGAAAATAAACTGCACTCCCTTTTCCAAAATAAAATACAATAGGGGCAAACACCCCTGCTCTTTAGTGTGCATATGTACTGTATGAAAAGTAGGTGTGTAAGCATTTGCACACAAAATTAAACCTGGCCCAGCAACAAGCTAGCTTATAAGCAAGTGCCTCAGAAACAGTTTACGAGCTAGTTTTACACACAAGTCTACTGTTAGAACAGTACACACACACACACACACACACACACACACACACACACACACACACACACATACAGTACATCGTCCGAGACAGCAACACAAGTAAACAAGAAAATGTGAAATAAATCTGACTGTGCATGAGACCCTTCTCATACACTTTTCTCTTTTGTGGTCGCAGTGGTGGCTTTGCCAGCTAGTGCAATCTCAGATGATGTGGTGGTAGAGAAGCCTCGGCAGCCCATGCCCACACGCAAGAGGAAGATAAACCCGGCAGCCAATCACATCAGCCTAAAAAACAAGGTAAACCAGGAGTATTTGTAACTTTAAATAATACAACACCTTGAGTTGTTAGTGATGATGGTGTGAACATGCTTGCCATCTCTACTACATAGGCATGTGGTTTATAAGTTGGAAGCTTGCATTTGGCATGATTTGAGTCTGTTTAAAGCCCATTTTAATCAACATTAAAACATACTGATACTGAAATTACTTAAAGGCGTAACATTAGCAAAGTTCTTGGTGTCTCCAGCATTTCACTTTCTCACAGCAACTATAGAAAAAAAGACATAAATAACACAACACACCATAGAGCTATTTAGCCATTATGATATCATGTACCTAAATAGAGTCACAATGGTCAAAAACGTTTTGTTTGTTGTAAAACATGATATAATTTCAGTCACTGCGTTAATCTGACTACGAAAAACTACGAAAGAATGATCATGACACACCAAAATCTACAAAAGCAAATTTAATTTAATATGATGCTTTAACCACTAATCTGTTTTATTTTATTTCCGGAAGGTGAAAGAAAGTCACAAGCAGCTGGAGCAGCAGCTGCAGGAAGCCAAACTTAAGGCTCAAGAGTACCAACAGCAACTCCTGCAAAAGGAGCAGGAGGCCGAGCAGTATCGAATCAAACTAGAGCAGGCCATAGCCACCAGTAACAGCATCAAAAACGCCACTACTGCGACGACAGTTACCTTAAACAGCGGTGCTACATTGAAGCTGGAGGAGGAGGAGGTACTGATAGAGCAGCAGCTAGGGATGGAAGAGGTGAAAGAAGGGGAGATGAAAGACACGGAGGAGGAGGGGGAGGTCATCAGTGAACTTAAAGAAAATGAAACTTTTGTGAATGAGGGCGCGCTGGATCTGGAGGTTGATGGTACAGAGGAACCACACAAGTCTTTGTCCTGTCGACGAGGCAGACGGAGAGGCAGAGGCAGAGGGGGAAGCAGACACTAGCTGACATGTTTTGTAATCTATTTAATTATTATTTTATAACCTTTTGTAAAAGATGGGGGAAAAGTATATATATATATATATATATATATATATATATAGGAAGACTTTTGTAAATATGTCAAGATAAACTTACCTCTTACCTCTTTATCTCACCTGTAATTTCATCACCAGACTCCCAACTGGATGGTAGCTGAGCTTTTTTGTCCTTTACTTACCAATGCACCACTGAATATTACATCCCAACATTTTGAAAAAATGGTAAAAGTAGACAACTTAGGTTAAGAGAAAGGTTATGAACAAATATATTTTCATTGATATGGCAGGTTAAACTTGCAATTCATTGTAGTTTGTTTGATATGTGCTAGGGCACCTGCAACAGATGCACATCCTGACAGGTACATTACTGATCTTCACCCTTTCTAAATACTTAAAGCTGCATGAACGGTGCACAAGATCTCCACAACAAGCTGCCTGAGCTTTTAGCTGTAAACAGCTGCTTGTAAAAAATGAGCCAATCAAATGTATGTAAGATTAAGATTTATCTTCCTGTGCCAGACAATAGGGACAAAGTGGCCACAAAGATGGTAACAAGCACAGATTAGACTATATAACAACTCTCAAGTCTGACAAATGTTAAGTTATTGCTCCAAGCGATCACAGCGGATGGTTAATCAGTCACTAGTGATTGATTAAGGAAAAAAATAACACTCCAAAAAGAAATCGGTTGAACTGAAGATGAAATTAATTAATCAGGCTAGGTTTGGCACTCCAAGAGACCCCTTTCATATAACACACATCTGATTCATTGTTAATATAAAAAATATTGATTTGTGGAGCTTAAATGGGTCAAATGGCAAATTTAAGTGACAACATTTAATCCTGCTGTTAAGTATGACAACAAACTGAGCGACATGCAGCTGAGGCCTTGAACTGGAGATGTGGCGGTTTGTAGCGGCCATCCTGTACATTACAGGACACCCGACCAGATTTTATTTCATGTCGCATTGTTTTGTTTCTAAAGTAAAATACTTCTCCCTGCCAGTACAGTAGAATACGTGTAGTACAGAATACGTGTGTTTGTAATGGAGAAAAAAACTAAGCACCCCGATTCCTCTACATTTTCTTGTCATTCATTATTCTGTGTTGTTTTTTGTAGAATTTAAGTTATTCTCAAGTCTTTGTGTTTACAGCTTTTCTTCTGATGAGGGCCCTCAGACTGTGATGTGTAACACGGTGAATGTGCCTCACTGGAGGTGCACAGTACAGTCAAAGATAATCATGAAGCAATTACAGTAAAAGCACTTCATGCTCTCTTATCCAGGGTGACCTACAGTGAGCAGATAGGAACTCTTTTGTGCTCAAGGACACTTTAACAGAACGCATGCAGTTGATGGGCACCTTATCTTTTCTAGGAATCAAACCTGTAACCTTTCAGTTTTTAGAGCAGTCTCTTTAACTACTCAGCCACCATCCTACCCAGTTCTACTGCTGTGTAATATTATGGTTTTATTTACAACAGACAGATTTGAGGTTTTTGAAGGGAAAAAAACAAAATGTGGCGCCAATTAGTCCACTAGAACAAATTAAGGAGTAGGCCAGCCTTTCTATTAATTAGTTTGCTTTTCTTACATTAATCACACAGTCCGCCTCCTCGTTATTTAAACTGTCAGGGAACAGTTGTTTTCATGTTTGCACTTAAGGGCTTTATTCACGCTGTAGCAAAAAATGTGACTTTGAAGTGTTTTTAAGGTCGAACTTGGACAACCTGTACAGAGAAACAAGTAAGCGCCTCAGAGACTAAAAAGAGTGATACATCATCATCTGAAGACACTGCTCGTTTCTTAAAGGGACACACCATTGATTTTACATAAAAAAATAATTTATTCGGTGTGGGGAATAACTACTTAGCCTGTGAAAGCACATGTATACACATGATTTTGGTCCTAACTTTCAGAATTTACTTATAATAATAATACTGTCGTTGGTCGTCGAAGTGCTGAATCATTCAGTGGAGGTGTCTCACAGTAGGTTCTAGGGCCACCATTTTTTATTGATGACCAAAGATTTCACCATGTTTCTCTCATAACTGTACAGTGTGAAGGAGCCTCAAATGTCAGAATAACTATGCCTCTGTTGCTTTAATTTTGACCATTTTTAATCTGTCTTGTGAGTCCCCAGACTTTATGGAGGCATATTATTAAATCGCTGAATTCCTCTTATAAGAATGTTATTTTTTGACCAAAATTTGTAAAATGTAATGATGTTAATGAGGCAATAAAGGGCACCCAAAAAAGAATTTATTCTGCAATTCCAGTGCAGTCCTTCCAGTGTAACCCTCTTAGGTTGAATTTAAAGCCAGATTTTCTGTGTGAATGTAGAAGGTTAATTTACTTGTAGGCTACTTGTAAATTTTGTTGAGTGGGTTTGTGGTTATGGTTTTTTAATGTGTAAGAGTAAGAGACTACATGTTTTAGAAACAAAATGTAAAACTTTTTTATAATGTTGAATAGTTTTACATCTGGAATATTTTTAAAAGAAAATTGAATCTTTTACATTTAAATAAATCTATCTTCCAGTTGGAATTGTATGTTAATGTGTAAAGATCCAAACACTTACTAGTTATTGCTTGCTATGTGCATGTGAAATTATGCAAGCATTTATGTAAATTCTCCACATTTTCTTTTTTACTGTAGCCAGTGGAAGCATTTATCCTCCAGCTGCTCTAGTGTAGCTCTCTAGTGGTCACCAGTAATGACTGTCATTATACTGGGCAGCTCCCAGTGGCCAACAGTCGGACACTGTGGTGAAAAATATCGTTGCACTCAGCTCTTTGTTCGTAAAACCCTTGAAAATGTGGGAGTGCTGGTATTTGATGTGTGTTCTTGAAAAGCTGTCTTCCTCTGATGTCCTTTGAGGGCTAAAGCAGATTGTGGCTGACATGAATCTGACAGACCAGCTCCAAACTTTCAACAAGACGTGGGAGATGGGATGACATCGCCCCTGTTTTACCCTCCTCACATAGTCTCTGTACTCTTCAGAACTGATCTCAGATAAAAACACTTCATGGCCTGGTTCCTTTCTATGTTACAGAGCGTTGAAGGCTTTATGAGCACTCATATAGCCTGACTTCACCTTGCAGGGGCCCTCAGGCTGTCCCAGAGAGACCAGGAGTGACAGCACCTCATGTGTCTAAGCCCCAAGGCTTAGAACAACATGCCTGAGAAGATATGCTAGTTGAATCAGTGTCAACTTTAGAATTACCTCTCAAAATGCAGCCATCCCTAAATTTATTTTTCCTTCCTTGTTTTATTTTTATCATAGGGATTTAGAAAATACCCCCTTATAAAACTTCCATTGTGATGCCTGCGGTCTGTTTAGCTTTTGTTGAGACTATGTAAGTAAGGTGTTATAATTATATATTTTCAGCCATGCTAGCAGCATAGCTCTAGGGATGGCAGTGTTCATCTGTTGGTCCCCCATTGAAATATCTCAAAAACTATTTGATGGATTGCTATGACATTTTGTTTGGACATTCAAGATCCCTAGAAGATGAGTCCTACTTACTTTCGTGATCCCCTGACTTGTCCTCTACCACGAGAGTGAAATTAGTGGTTTTGAGTGAAATGTTAGGACAACTGTTGAATGTATTGCCAAGAAATTCATCATCCACTCAGGATGAAATGTAATCACTTTGATGATCCCTCAACTTTCTATATAGCACCATTATCAGGGGCCGATTTCACAAAGACAGTCTTTGACTGTGGTTCAGATTTAACTAACAATCAGACCTTTAATAGTTGTCTAAATACATTCGTTGCACCATGCTCTTGACTATCTTAGGCAGGACTAACATGCCATGAATTCTGGGTAAATTGAGACTTTTTTATTTTTAACTAAAAAACATGGCTGATCGAGAAAACATGTCAAACCACTCGGCCTTAACTCCAAGGAATAAAATATTTTCCTTCTGGGAGAATTCAACAAGCTTACAATTTATGGAGAAAATTCAGTATACAGCGAAACAATAAAAACATCCAGTAGCATAAAATGAGCTGCTGTGGCTTCACTCATTAGTCAGGCTCAGGACTGTTTTTTGGACTGACAATGTGTATTTCCAACAGGTCACTGTTGCCTCTTCCCTTCTCATCATAGCGTCACAATATTGATGGGAAACTACATATTGTGAACTATGTTATGCTTTTTTTGTCATTTGGTGCCATTGGTCAGCAATTATCATTGATTCTCACCATAGAAAAATACAGCTCGTTTAGAGTTAGCATGGGGGTAAGATGGTTTAAGACTAATGTAAGAGTAAAATTAAGATTGGCTGAAAACTACAGACCAGTCGAAAATATCTCTGAGAAACCAGCTCCATTTCTAAAGTTTTATTTATCAAAAAATTTGGTTTATGACCAAATACCTTCAAAATGAAAGACATTCCCAGCAGCCTCAGCTGTACTTTGTGATTAGTGCTAATTAGCAAATGTTATCATACCAATACACTAGACTAAGATGGTGATACACCTGCTAAACACCAGCATGTTAGCATCATGTTGATAGTATTTAACTCAAAGCACAGCTGTGTCTAACTAAAGCCCTACAAAGCTGCTAGCAGGCCATTTCTCTACCTCACAACTCTTGTCACTGACTACTCACATGATGCTTATTTTTTTACCAGTGAAGATCTTTAAGTACAGTAATTAGTAGCATATTCCTAGTCTTTTTGTTGTACAGTCATGGGGCACACCATGCACTATAAATCTATGGATTGGAACATTGAGTTTTATCAACAACATCTCTCCTTCATAGTAGGCCAGTAGTTACAGTAGTGTATCCCGCAATATATTGTGTAGGCAATCATAATATTGTGTCACATCATTGTGGTCATTAGGTGTCTAATATCTGCTGTTCTCTTTGCCATGCTTTACTCTATTTAGAGCTGCAACTAATGATTATTTACATTAGGCCTATTGGTTGATCTCTAAATTCATTTTATGATTAATCAATTAGTTGCTTAAGTTTATAAAAAGTCAGAAAACTGTGAAAAAACATCCATCACAATTCTTCAATTCCTCTAGCTCCTTTTGTTCGACCAACTGTGCTAACCCACAACTATTTAATTTCCAGTGATATAAAATCAGAGAAAAGCTGCAAATCCTTATATCTAAAAAAAAAAACTGGAACCGGCAAATGTTTTGCATTTCTATCCTTATGAATGACTGATTATCAAAATTGTTGTTGATTCATTTTCTGTCTGTCGAATCACTGAATAATCAGCTATTTGTTTAAGCACTATTTTTTTGTGTGACAGCCTTTTATAGTGAACAGTGCACTAAATATGTGAACACAAAGACACAAAGCAATTCAATATTTCTCTAAAAGCTGCAGACCTGAAGCATTTTTGAATAATGCTGGCGATCATCCTTTCTTTGGTGCTAATGTTCCCTGTAGCCTCACACATTTCATCAGTGAAATAGGTGACAGATTATTGTAAATATCACCGGCTCTTGGGAATAAGAGGAATTGCTGCAAAATCAATTATGCAATATCAGTATATCCTCCCTTACATCCTTTTGCACAGCTATTCACATTCACCGGGAACAGTCCCTTCAAACCTGTTCATAGACCATTAAATTAACTGGAAGCTGAATAGTGAAATGGGGCGTTTGGAGAGGGAATAAATTCAGAATAAGGCGTCTGAGCGTGCACAGCAGAGAATGAAAATAATTTAATTATCAGCGGCTTTCTTTAATATGAGTCATGTTGCATAAAGCATGACTGTGATATTGATCCATAATGGTTAATGTTCCCCGCTGCCGCTCCCTCTTGCAGTGTAAAGGCGTGTTTAGATTGGATTATAATCTTTGTTTGGCACGAGCTAATGAGATTTTAGAAACAGAAAATGAAGGCTTCCATTCCAAAATGATTTGTTTCTATTCTGGGTATCGCTCAAAACAAGCGAAGGTTTTAGGAGGACTGATAACTTTTATGGTGCTTTAATGTCGGAGTCATTCTTTTCAAATGATTGATCACTCCTCAGATGTGTTTCCTACATCCCGGAAGATTGTGTGTCCTCCTCCTTCCAGCATGAATTGTGCGAGAGCAGGTTTCTGTATGAATGAATGTTCATAAAGGCTTAGTTCTGCTTTCATATTGCAGCAGTTATCAGCAGAGGATGGCATCCACACCACTATTTTGACTTTCAGAAATGAGCAAACACTGAAAAGGTTTCAGTGAAGACGTAGGTTGCCTCTTACATAATAATCCAAAAAGCGCAGACTGCTCATTTCTCCTCTGTGGGATCAGCTCGCATTTAAAATTCTGATGCGCTTCAGCTCCTGGCCCTCCCTAAAAAAACAACAAAACCTGTAGATGTGTGATATCAGCAGAATTATTAAGCAACAGGCAACAGATGCACATATTCATTTGCAAACAAAATTCATAGGTCGATCTAGCCACGTCTTGCTTCAATGTGAGGAATGATGCAGGTTTTTCAGGGAGGTGTGCAGAGGATGATTGCATATAAACATATTCAGTGTTGGTGTCAGAGAGAAGATTGTTATTCTGCGTGGTGTTCTGGAGGGTCTCGGCTCAAAGAGCAGCCTGGGCCTGGAGCCTGGAGCCTAGTGTGTGTGTGTGTGTTTGTGTGTGTGCATGTGTGTGTGTGTAGTCAGACAAAGCGTCTGGGTTCACAGAAAACCAATCGAGACACCTGCCGGCTACCACTGCCAGACACTGATAAAACGGGGAAAAGAATGGATTGGGCCTCCAGCACATATGGCCACCTTGAAAAGGGCAGGGTGGCTCGGAAGAACTTTTTTCTCATCCATTTTTTGTTTCTCCTTAACACCTGCCACTTTTACCGCCCAGTGAATGAACCTATTAAAAAAACACACATTAAAAGGCAGATGTGCACTCTGATCATTTTTATTACAAAACGAACGGCGGCTCCAGGCGAAAAACAGATCAAAACAAAAGGCTCCAGTACAGACAGGAAACAGCTGCTTGAGCAACTGACCCACAGCTACAACATCAGGATTAAAGCACTTCACCATTTATCATGCACGGAGAGGTTACTCTGCAAGAAATACATGCGGGGAAAAAAACCCAAAACACATCACCTCAGCACAACGTCGCAACATCTGCGATAGGTAGGAAAAGGCCACAGCAGATCACAAGAACATCACATGTCGTCGAAAGGGTCAGAGTTCACTTCCTGTCCCGACAGGAACAAGAGCAGGGAAGGTTTTTTTTTTCTTTTTAGCAGGCTGTATGACATCTCCGTGAAGTGCAAAGACAC